TCATATCTATATTTATTACACTATCCTACATTAATTTAGGGCTGTCTCTTCCTCTGACACTTCTATTTACCGTCACTGTATCGTATCTTTTCACTATTGCCTTTGTTCGTCTCCGTTGTATGACCAAACCATCTCAATCTATTTTCTCTCAATTTATCTTCTATCGGTACTACTCCTATCTATTATCGAATATACTCATTTCTAACTGTATATTTTCTAGTTTTGCCATACATCCACCTTAACATTCCCATCTTACCAACGCTCATCTTATCTACATATTCTTTCTTAGTTGCCCAACATTTCGACCCATACAATATTTTTGGTCTAATAGTAGTTCTATAAAACTTTCATTTTAGTCTAGTGGGTACTAGTTTATCGTACAGTACTCCAGACGTACGCTGCCACTTAAGCCACTATACCTTAATTCTATAGGATTTTTGGTAGTAAGTCCCTGAATTTCAATCTTTATTGCCAAAAGGACAAGTGAAAAATATGTAATTTATTAAGGACAAAGTTTAAATTATTTAAAAAATATAACAATAATATCCTCAATTTCTATCATTTTCTTACATTACCACAACTATCACCGACCATTGTCTGCAATCACTGACCATAGCCGACCACCATTGATCACCCCAACCGGTGACAATTTTCCAGTGACCACTGTCGGTCGGCAAAAATTTTCCGGCAAGATTCTCCAATGGCAGTAAAATTTTACTTTGGTAATTTAGACAGTAAAATTTTACTGTTTACTTTAAACATATAAATAATGAATTTTTTCCATTGTTATCACTAACCACCATACGTACTATAATTATTACCATTATTCATATAGATATTAAATGAGAAATTAGTTAAAATATTGAATTAACAATGTTAATAGTAAAATTTTACTATTTCGCTATTGAACATACTAAAATAATATTTTCATTTGAGATCTCAAAATCAATATTCAAACTAGTAATGACAAAAAAATGCACTGAAATAAAAGTATTTACATATAGAGAGAAAGGGAAAAAGATAGAGAAATAGAGAGACAGAGAGAGAGAGCACATATATTGTCTCAAATCTGGTTCAAACCAGAGTAAAATTTTACTGTTTGAAAAATAGAACACCATAAGGAGACAAAGAGAAAGAGATTGAGAGAATATAGGTTTGAGATGATAGATCTTAGATCTGAGGTTGTCAATCTCAGATTTGAGATTTTAGAGGTAAATGATGACGATGGTGATTGTCGGTGGTATAGTAACATTGAATGGCGCCAGTGATTGAAATAGTGATAGTGGAAATGGCGACGGCGGCAGTGGTGGTAGTGGTAGTGACGAATGGCGTTGATTGTTGAAACTGTGGTAGTAGAGATGGTGAAGGTGGTGGAAACGGTGGTGTTCGTGTAGATAGTGATGGTAGTGGTAAAGAGAGCTATGAAGGAGAGAGAGAGAGAGAGAGAGAGAGAGAGAGAGGGAGAGAGAGAGAGTTAAGATAAGTGTTGAGAGCTAGAAATCGTCCTCGCCGGAAATCGCCATTAGAAAGAGATAGAGAGTGTGTGTGTGTGTGCGCGCGTGAGTGTGAAGGGGTAAATTTGTCACACAAAATATAAATCTAAATTTTTTTGTCTTTCTTACAAGATTTCTTCATTTTGGAAGAGTTTATAAGCCAAAAAATTAGAATTTGTCCTTTTCAAGAAAAACAAGCTCTAAGAAGGAGTTATGGGAGAAAATCCCTAATTCTATGGATTATGTCTACTCTAACCTCTTCAGCCGTTGTGATAATCGATCCTAAATAATGAAAACGTTTACTCTTAGGTAGTTCTTGATTATCAATCTTCACTGCTCCTCTGTTTCCATTGTTACTGTTATTAAAATTACACTCCATGTACAATGTTTTAATTCTACTTATCCTAAATCATTTAGATTCAAGTATCTCTCTGCAAGTTTGCAACATAGTGTTTGCTTGTTTTCTAGTCTCATCTACTAATACGATATCATTTGTAAAAACTTATATACTATGACACAACGGAAAGATATTTAGACATTTTATATAAATCTACAGTGAGTTTAAGCATTAAAATATTATTTTTTTCGTCAGTTTTACATAATGGAAATAAGTTGTTGATTATTAAAAAAAATAAAAATATTAAATTTTAAATTGATAAAATTAAAAATTTATTTTGTTATAAAATCAAACTTTAATTTATTTATTTTTTTGTTGGTAATTTTCTCATAATAAAATTTATTAAACTAATAAAGTAGTGAAACAGTTGTAAATAATAATAATAGGAAGGAAAAAGCCTCCGACCCCCAGTGGGGGTACTGGGGGTCGCGTGTGATTGGTGCAAAAAAAAAAAAAACTGTTATTGTATTTTATTTATTTATTTTTTTAAGCCAATGGGGAGGCGACACCTCACTGGGGGTTGTCAGTGGGGGTCGCCCCACTGGGGGTCGGTAGCACGGCTCTAATAGGAAAAATGGTGTCCCACCCTTATTCATCAATGATTATACAATTCCGATTCGTAGCTCGAAAGTGTGTGGCCCGAGAGTAGCTCGACACAAAAATGACGTCGTTTTGGTTTTTTTTTTTTTTTCTTCCTGCTTTGTGGTTTTTTTTTTTTTTTTTCTTCGCGTTTTTTCTGAAGATGAAGTAGAAGAAGAAAAAGAAGAAGAAGAGAGGAAGAAGAAGAAGGAGCTGGGTTCATCAACATCAACGCCGATCATCAACATAAGGAGCCGGGTTCATCAACATAACCTCTTAGTACCTACCAAATCATTTGGTAAACCTCTTCGCCACCAACCCATACCCTTGGGTGTGTTCATCAACATCAACATCAACTGGGTTCATTCAGAAAATTTCATCAACACCTCTAGCTCTAGCTCTTCTTTCATCAACAAAAAAATTGTTCAGAGACAAATCATTCAGAAAATTGTTGATCAACATCAACAAATTTGTTCATCAACAAAAAAATAATAATTCGTTGATCAACATCAACAAATTTTTTTTTGTTCATCAACATCAACAAGATCTGGGTCTGCAGATCCAGATCAACATCTTCATCAACAATTTTTTTTTTCCTTCATCCTCAGATTTTGAAATCATTGCAACAACATCATCATCATCATCTTCATCATCTTCAACATCATCATCTTCATCAACAAAAAAAAAAAAAAAATTACCTTTAATCCTCAAATCCAAATCTACTGAAGAATTAAAAATTCGTGGTTCGGTTCCTCTTCTATGTGAAGAAGAAGGAACTAGGTCTGATGATGATGATGGGTCTAATGATCCGGAACCGAACCAAGGAGCTGGGTCTAGTGAAGAATTAAGAAGAAGAAGAAGGAGCTGGGTCTGATATCCGTGGTTCGGTTCCTCTTCTCTGTGAAGAAGAAGGAACTAGGTCTGATGATGATGATGGGTCTAATGATCCGGAACCGAACCAAGGAGCTGGGTCTAGTGAAGAATTAAGAAGAAGAAGAAGGAGCTGGGTCTGATGAAAATCCGTGGGGTTCGATCTTTCTTCTCCTCTTCTCATCTTCTCCTCTTCTCTCTTCTCTCCCCTCGTCTCTTCTCTTCCTCTGTATTTGAACGCACAGAGAAAGAAAGAAAGAAAAAATCTCAAAACGATGTCGTTTTGAGTTTTTGGGCCAATTTCAAGCTAATAAATTCAAGCAACGGATCATTTTTTAATGATTATATGTATACATATGCAAGTAGTACGTAGGTGTGTCATATAATATAGTGGTCTATTAAAATGTGCATATTATAGAGAATAATAAAATGTGCATACTGATATAGTGGATATGTTGGGTGCTGTGGGGTGGTGGTGGGATGACTCTAACGTCACCACTCACCGCCAAAATGGATGCTTCTTGGTGGATTGGGAACTTGATACCTATTCGTCTTCTAGTTGATTTTTTATTTACTTATTATTATTATTAATATTTTTTCTGTAAATAAGAAATGTGAGAGGTAATATAATTTAAAATAAGTTTAAAGTTTAAAGTTTAAAGTTATCTTTTTATTTGCTTCTCAAAAGGTTATTAAAAAGTTGATTTTTTGACTTTTTTAGTCTATTTTATTTTTTTGTGAGTAAAAAATATGATAATTTTTTTTCTTGTTAATTATGAAATATTTTAAAAAGATGGTTAAAAATTATCTTTTTAAATTTTTTAACTTTTTTATATAAGAGATAATGTAACTTAAAATATTTGAGATTTTCAAAAAAAAGATCTCACAATCGTATTGTTGATTGATGTGTTTAAATTTTTTTTATTTTTTTATTTTTTTTTTAACAATGATATAAATAATTTAGGTGATTTTGGGCTATTTTGAGAAGTTGGCTAAAAGTCACTTTTTTTTGTTTGTAGCAAAAATCAAAAGTTGGCTTTTATGTCTTTTTTTTCATTTGGAAAGTTTGTTTTTAGCCAACGGTGAAATTACAATTTTACCCTCATGGGTCAAAATGTGTTACATAGGTGAAGTCGTAAATATTTTAAATAAATGGGGGTAGTTTGGTTAGTTTGTTATGATTTGACATCATAAACAAACATTAATCAAAAAGTCAAAAGTCACTTTTTACCAACTTCTCAAATCATTTGTCTAAAAAGGTCAAAAATTTGATTAAAAGTCAAAAAATCACTTTTTACCATCTTTTCAAAATAAGCATGTGAATTGAAAAGGTTGTGTTTTGTAAAGCTGGTATCGGTGGTGTTTGACAAGTTTTTTCTCTTGATTTTTTATGATTTTTTTACTAAGAGATAAAATTTTTATAAAATTAAAAAAAAATAAATTTAAATAAAATATCATATTTAATTTCATAATTATTTTATTTTTTCTTTCACAAATATAACATTCAACTATAAAAAAAATCTAATTATCTTTTCAAACACTAAAAAAACTTTTCTCCAATAACATTTTACAATTAAAAAAATTATATAAAAACTCACTTCCCAAAACACTAGGTTACTTTATTTCCTTTTTAGGTACAATCCACTACTTATTTCGAAAACGTCTCTCGTCCACTGGCTCCGTTTTTTCTCCGTGTGCGGTTCCTATCTCTCCTCTCTGTCCTCTCGCTTTTATACATCTCTCCATTATCATTTCCTCTTCACACTATCACAGCCACACAGACACCCAGAAAGAGATTGGACTGGAAAATCTTCAAAAACCCTGAAAGATTGTGAATTAAAAAGATGAAAGGTGGGGTTATTGTTGAAGATGGATTCATATACGAAGAAGAAACCCATCTCACCGTTTTCAAAACCTCTGTTTTCTTCTCCGGCGATGGCTTCACTGTCTACGATTGCAAAGGAGAACTCGTCTTCCGAGTCGACTCGTACGGGCCCGACACTCGCGACACGGGCGAAGTTGTCCTCATGGATGCTTCTGGCAGGTGCCTCCTCACTGTCCGCCGAAAGGTAACCTACCCCTAACTTCTTCCTTTTCCACACTGTAGAGCGAGTCGACTCGGTGAGTCAATTTAGACGGTGATGTAACAATGAATCTAGAAAACAAACGGAAAATTGAATCTCATGAGGATATGGGTTTGCGTCAGTTTCTGGTTTGAACAAATGGGTATTGATTTGCATTTAATTTACTGTAAAGTTCACTCCTGAGTTGTGAGTCGTGACTCGTGAGTTGGTCACCTTACCGATCTTTTCTCTTTGAAGTTTTGAATACTAAAATTGCGCAAATGTAATGAAGAAAATCAATTTAAAAAACTGTGTTTTGTGTTGGATTTGAATTTACTGTGATATCTGGAACCTCCTTTCCGAGTCGACCCGTGGAGATTTCTTACTTTTTTTTAGGGTAGCAAATATTAGTTTAACCCATCGTCTATATCAAAATCGTACAAATATATCCTCTGCTTAAGATGGTTTAGAAGGGTGAAACTATATGTTTTTGAGAATTGAGATTTAGTTTTTGTATTTTTTTTGTTTTTAGTGAATATTTTTAAAATTTTAAATATTTTTTTTACTTTTTTATATACATCTTATTTAGATGTATTTGAAAAGTAAAAAATTTGTAAAAAAATATTTTAAAAAATTAATAAATACATAAAAATATAAAAAATGTACTGAATTTTTATGTTTTTTTTATATTTTTGGTATTAAATTTTTTTTATAATTTTTTACTTTTTTAGGTGTATTTATGTTAGGAGTGTCTAAAAATTAAAAAAATTGCTTAAAATATTAAAAAAATTCAATAAAAATAAAAAAATACAAAAAATAAGAAAATAAAATTTTTAAAAAAATATTTTTTAAAAAATGAAAACCAGCTGGTTACCATTTTTGTTTAGTTGGGTGGATAAAAATGTACGGTTAATAAATAATGATATCAAAATGATACGATAGTTGAAACGACTGGTTGACTGGTTATAAGTAACATTTTTTTTAGAAAAAAATAAAAAACGGTAATGATTCTACTGAATACTTGTGACTCGTTATTTAGAACGATCCGAGTCAACTCGGTGTTATTCAATATATGTTGATAATGGTGTGTTTTATCTGTGTTCTGAAGCAGAGGCCGAGTCTGCACCAACGGTGGGAAGGTTTCGTGGGAGAGAGAACGGACGGTCAGAAACCGATCTTCAGCGTGAAGAGGTCGTCGATAATCGGACGGTCGAGTTTGACGGTGGAGGTGTACACTAATCCGGGTGAGGAGTACCAGATTGAAGGGTCGTTCGCGCAGAGAAGTTGCACGATCTTCGATGCAGAGAAGCAATCGGTGGCTGAGATTAAACGGAAAGTGGATGCTTCGGCAAAAGTGGTGCTTGGGAAAGACGTCTTCTCTCTCTTCGTCAAGCCTGGCTTTGATGGTTGCTTTGCCATGGGATTAGTTCTTGTTCTTGATCAGATCAACGGTGACGATTTTGATGAGGCTGGTGGGGTTGAGGTGGTGGATCCACTGCTTGTGAATTCAAATCTGTCTTCTTAGATTTTGCTTTCACTTTTTTTTATTTTTTTATTTTTTTAAGTTTTATTTTAATGGTTTGGGTTGAATAAATTGTGGATTTGTCATTTTCTCCGTTTTGGAATTTTGTTTATATAGAGTATTTTATTTTTGTTATAGATAATTTCAAAAATGTTACTACTAATCACGATCGGCACCCACAAAGAATTTGAGATAATTTTCATAAAATATTTTTCTGTAGCAGTGTTGATATAATTTAAGATCTCATTTGTCAATTATTTATTTATTTATTTATTAAAAAATTAAAAAAATTATTATATCATTTTTTTATATTTTTTTACACATTTTTTATAAAAAATTATCAAAACGTGTGTTTCTAAATTGGATTCGGCCTATCCAGGAAAATTTTATTCATACATATAAATAATATAAAAAAATTTACATGAATGACATTGTAATTTTATATTATTATTGTTAATAAGTGGGAGAATCGATCAGTAAGTTTTGTTTTTTTAGACGTGTTAATCTATAAGTTTTTAAATGTTTTTTTTTTCTCCATCACAAAAAAAAGATTTTTTTTTTTTTAATGATTGGGTGGTCTTTTAAATTATTTATTGACTGCTTTATCATTGTTAGTATAGTTGAGAGACAATTAGCGTGGTTATGTATTGCGAATGTGGTGGGAGTGTTTGTGTCACGTTGTTTAAAAAGTACACTTGTAGCTTTTTAAAATTTGATTATTTTTAACACGCGCAGTGTGAGACATGAATTCTTTACTAATTATTTTTTGACGTATGATGTAAAGTACGCAATAATTCAATCAAATTGGGTCCGTCACATTGGAGTGTCACATGTCACGCTTAGGAAAAGTACGTCAACGAGTTTTTAATTTTTTTAAAGTGTCACAACATACTCGCCACATTATCACATTTGAAAAAAAAAAAATATTAAGGAGTTTTTATTTTTTTGTGGAGTGTCATATCATACTTACTACGTTGTCACATTTGGAAAAAGTATACTAAGGATGAATAAAAATTTTGTAGTGTCATATCATATTTGTCACGTTGTTACATTTGAAAAAGTATACTATATATCACATTAATACCTGTCACATTGGAGTATCACACCATACCTGTCACACATTCCAAAAAAAAAAAAAATTCCAATTAACTAGTGAGGACTCGCCACACAATACACCTAATAAGGACTCCCAAATCAACCATTTAAAATGTGGGACCAAATGATAAGTTCTCAAAATAAGACTTTCCAATAAATTTCCCTAATAAATATATGTATATTTTATTTTAAAGTGAATAATTAATAATGAGTTATATTATTAAGGGGTCGTTTGGCAATGTTGACTTTTTTGACTTTTTTGACTTTTTTAATTTGAGACTTTTTTGTTTGTTTGGTTGTCTTCTTTGACTTTTTTGATTTCTTTGCATTGGAATGACAAAATTGCTCTCAATTTGGAAAATGATACTTTTTTAACTTTTTGTTTGTATATGGGTTAATTTGGTAATTTTGCATCTTAAATTAAGTGTTTTGTCATTTTGTGACTTTTTTTTGCCCTTATATGTCTATTTAGCCCCATGAAAACCAAACCAAGGCTAAATGATGTATAAAAATAATATATGAAATTTTTTTTAGTTGATATAGCATTAGTCATTTAAGGTTTCTTTTATGAAGTGAGTTAGCTTTTTTGGTATTTAGTTTGGGCTAAACTCTCTTGTTTGGGTCTGATTTTTTAATTTTTTTAATTTTTATAAAAATAAAAGTAAAGAAATTATAATTTAAATGTAATATTTTATCTTATTAACTTTTTAATTATTTTATATTTTTATAACTATTTTAACCTCTTACTCTTAAAATTAACATGCCAAACTTTGGTTTCGTATCATCACTTAACAAGTGCATGAATTGTGGAACCTTGAGAATGCCATTGTGAAGGTTGGTTTGGTGCATTGTCAATTTCAAACCAATCCACTTTTAAAATTAACAGTCGTGCTAGGGGGCTCGAATTTGGAGCCCCCGAATCAACCAAGAAGAGAAGAAGGAAGAAGAGAAGGAAGAAGAAGGACTGGAGGGGGCCAATCGGGCTGGAGGCGGAGGCGGGGCCGGAGGCGGGGCTGCGACGAGCTACGGCGGCGACGATCGGCGGTGGCGGCGGAGGCACATGAGGGGCCTTTCTCTTCTCTCATCCTCTCTCTTTCTCCCTCTCTCTTCCTCTTCCCCTCTCTTCTCTTTCTCTCTTCTCTTTCTCTCCCTCTCCATCTCCCTCTTCCTCTCTGCGTTTCAGACTGGAAAATGAAGAAAAAAAAGAAGAAAAAAAAAAAGGAAAATGCCCAAAGCGACGTCGTTTTGGGCATTAGGGGGATTCAGGGGGGGAAGTTTCGAGCTACGAAACATTATTCTGAAATTAATAGGGAGAGATTAGTTACACGACTATTCTTCCCTGTCAATTGAAGGTGTCATGCTTCCGTCGATTTACCAATTGTCTATTTTGATAATCTCAATTATTTAGGAATCAATTTGTCTCCGGTGCTTAATCAGACTGAATGATACTGTTTGACTCATGAATGCTCATTACGGGTCCCGTTTTGATAATTCGAACCGTTCAATGTGCAGAATTCGTCGAGTATTATATGCTTGTATAAAAATCACATTGATCAGATATCAATAGCTATGCGATCAAATCAGTTTTGTATAAAAAAAAATAGATGGTGAACAAATTAACGGTTGACAAAAAAATTAATAAGATGAGAAACCTATCGATATCCGATCAAAATGATTTTTTTTCAGACATATAGTACTCGACGAGTTCTACACATTGAACGATTTGGATTACCAAAATAGGACACGTGATGGACCCTACGGGCCGAACAACACCGTCCAATCCGATTAAGGACTAGAGGCAAGCTGCTCCCATTATTTATATTAAAAGATTCATTAAGAATATTATTTTTATAAAAAAATTAAATTGATCTAAATAGTGTAGATAAATGATTAAATTGCAATTGTCCTTAAAATAATAAATGATATATATATATATATATATTGAAAGTTAAAATAATGTTATATGCACCAATTAATGTACTAACTAGTGTACCAATTGATGATGTGATATAATTTAAGATATTTTTGGTATTTGTAAGTGGTATAATGAGAGAAGTAAATAATATAATTATAACTAGTATTGATACACTAATTAGTTCATGTAGCACCGCTCTTAAAGTTATAATTATTATTTATTATTTATGATAAATATGATTTCAGCATGTAATTACAATTATCCAAATAATTTAACTTTTTCAATGATAATCATCAAGTTGGGTTATGTAGTGGATCTATGAAAGTCCCACAACAGGATTGTTTTGGAAAAATGGTTAAAAGTTAATTTTTTAATTTTTTGGACTTTTCTTTTAAAGAAAAAAAAAACTTATAAAAAACATGAGAGATAATGTGACCCAAAATAGATTAAAAATTAAAAAATGACTTTTAACTATTTTTCCAAAATAACCCTTAATTTTGCCTATTGGAGGGAAGCAAGCGTCTGTGTGAAATTTTCACTTTAAACTCAACTATTATAATGATATAATTTGATATTTTATCTTAATTTTAACAGTTTTTAGCTTACATATTCATATACTCAGGGGTTGACACCATATCATGTTGGGTCTTATTTGTACCGTGTTATTTCGGATTCTTAGAATTATTTCAATACTAATCCAACCTATTTATTATTTTGTATTATCATGTCATATCATTTTTGGTTCATGTCCAATTCGTATTGTATTAACGTGTTATGTCAAAAAAATTTACTATTAACTAAAAATATCAAATGTATAAAAAAAAAATTTAGAAATTTCTTCTTCTTTTATTATTAATTTTTTTTATTAGATTCACTCAAATATTAGACAAAAAATACATTAAGTTCAATAAAAAGAAAAAACAAAACCTATATTAAACTTAAAATCGTATTTTACATATTTTCTAATAAATTAAAAGTAATTATGTAAGAGATTAAAACATGTCATGATACTCTTTATGTCACGACCTCATTCCGCCCCTAGTAGAATGATACAATGATGGCCAGTAATCCGAGATTACCAAAGGCCAATTTACAAAGTCACATACAATCAGAGTATACATATGGAGCTCACATGTGCGGAAGCAATAAATTTAAATCTAAATAGTCCACAAGAGCTGTGCAGAGATCAAATGAAATGTCATACATAACGTGGTTTTACAACTTGAGTACAAATAAAACAAGTACAAATAAAACAAATACATATTACATCTTGATCAAAAGGTTTCTCAAGCCGACATATACAAAACGAACTACAATGGCCAAGCCAAGAAGCATAATCTTTAAGATGCTACAAAATATAAATCCAAACAACTTGCAAATAATCATCTAGGCGTCACCGCCTTCTTGCTCGTCACCTACAAATATATATAGAGAGGGTGAGCTTGGGTACTCAGTGAATGATATTAGTAATAAAAGTTTAAATGAATGACATCTGAGATCTTTATCAAACAATACATAGCATATCTTGTACAAAATCAAGGGATGAACCAAGTTCATCTGTCAAATCTTTCAAAGCTTCAAGGGGTGCTTACTAGCATCAATATAATACAAGGGATGACATTCCGGACAAACCCACGCCGTAAACCGTCGGTGGCAAGACAAGGGAGATATCTCAAACAAGGGTGCTAGTTGCATTATAGTCCCCTAGCACTAAGGACTTTCAAAACAAGGGTACTAGTTGCATTATAGTCCCTATTATAGTCCCCTAGCACTAAGAACTTTCAAAACAAGGGTACTAGTTGCATTATAGTCCCCTAGCACTAAGGACTTTCCAAGAATGTCATCAAAACAAATATAACACTGGATACAAAACTAGGGATAGTCATTAATGCTTGATCAAATACTTTTCCAAAGCAAAGCAAAGCTTTATCAAAATTTTATAACATAATTTTATTAAAAATACCACTCACATAGCTCTTCGGGTGTGGGGATTACAAGCAAGGATCTAAGGCCAACAAGCACATAATAAATCCCATTGAATGCATTTCAAGAAGATAAAAAGAGATTCTCAAAGATGGATATGAAATGCATTCCTAAAACAAGCTTTGCATGAGTGTAAATGATCTC